GGACGGGCCTCCATGTGTGTTGTGTAGTAAGCGTGCAAGTGTATATGTGTGCTAGAGACAGGGTATGTTGGTGTACTTGCCTACTTGTAATAGCGCGGATCTGATGCCGACTTTATAGTGCTATCTCACTGAAACACGATGCCGAAGGCACCCAGCACAGCATTTCGCCCGGTCACATTAAACTGATAACGGGTGAACCAGTTGTTGCATTTACACTCTATGATGAACGTTAAGCAGGGAATAACAACTAGCATGTTAATGACTTTGGTATGTCCCGGCCTAGGGACAGAACCCATAGTCTTCCTAACCTGGGCGATCGCTCAATATAAAAGCCAGAAGTGAGGTATCGCCAAGCTAGGCGCCAGGTAATAAAAAAAGTTAGAATCAGAAAGAAAAATAAAGATACCAAATGTTGCAATGGGTGCAGCAGATTTATTTTTGTCGCTTTTGTAACTAGCATCAAACAACACATTGGGTTCAAACGCCGAGAGCACATTGACTCCCTGGATTGAATCGACCGCTTTATTTCTTCGACTAATCAAGGCATCCGTATTTTCAGGAAGTCTTATGAACGGCTTGTAAGGGATAAAATCGAATTGTAGGAGAAACTGAGCTAAGACAGATTTTGTGAAGGATTTCTCCTGGTCTTCAATGAGAGATTTAACGTTATACACATCATTAGATACCGGTCCAGATTTGAGCTGTTGCCGACAAACAGATACTCATTAAATGTTCTGTCGGCCAGATCATTCTAGCCTGTGACATTTAAATTACTATTCGCAAGGCGACCTCATCAGAAATCCAGGATTGTCGTCATCGTGCTCCCGAAATCAATGGAAACACAGCGGCTTTATTAGCGGCGAAAATGTCTAACAAGCTCTTCTGTTTCATATGACAAGCGCTAAGTCAAAGAACTAAGATTTGAGAAGTAGATAAAGAAGTTTTGGTTATCAAACTGCGGGTGTTGTTAATGGGTTTTGGTTGTAGCGTTATTTGATGTATGAGGTGTTGGCTACTTATTTTACCCTCTAAACACCGATACTTTCCCATCAGATCGGTTCAAAGAGTAAGCAGAAATTGGTAGCAAAACAGGAGTCAGATGTAAAGATGTGGGTCGACTTTTACGAATTCGTTATTTAAAAAAACATTCATAGACAATATGAATGCCAACTTGAAAAACATTTACCATCTTTTGGATTTTTTTTTCTCGCACCTCGGAGAGATATAGATTTTTCTATCTCGTCCGATCTGTCTTGTACCTTTTCGTGACATTTCGCGGAATTTTTACACTGCGATGTATTCATCCGTGCGTTAACTGCTTGAAATTGACAATCTGCATTATAAATGTACTGTTTTGTCGTTATATGTATAGTTTTGATGTTGTTGGATATTTGATGTTGTAGACAAAATATAATCTACACTGTGAAATACGTTGTCATTTATGTAAGGACGGACTACATTTTTATGGGGAAGCATTCAAATGTAGCTTAAGTAGTGAAGAGGTCATTATCATTTGAGGCCCAGACGGGAAACTTGTAGTTTTTAGCAAAATTGAATATTTTTTTTCGAACTGAAAGGTGCGAGAGAAAGATATCAATTACCTGTAACAGAGCAAGATCGGGTTTTCTCAGTCTCGGGCTAAGATTCTGTAACGGCATTTTTTTTAATAGATTTTATTAATCTTATTGAAAGCTCATCTTATATGTCTTGTCAATTATTAGAACAACCATCTGCCAATGAAGGGTTAATTGTTAACCAAAATTAGATTTATGACGTCATTAAACCAATGACGTCAACAATTGTGTCATGACATTCATAGCTGGTAATGAATGCCGTCTGCATGAGGAAGGGTGATACTATTGCAATGTCATAAACATCTTTTGCTGTTCCTATATTCAGACTTTACTTAAAGGTTAAAGATAGCAAAAAGAATGTAAAATGCCGTGAACTGTCAAACTGTATAAAATCAGGTGAAAAACGACAGATTTTGAACTTAAGCTGCTGTTGAAACGTGAAAACGAAAAGGTCACAAATGGTACTCTGATACATAGGAATTGTCCCTTGCGCGCACAAAGCTCCGAAAATAAGTCGTGACATTTAAACATGGCTGGCGATTGGTCCTTATAAGTGTCAGGAGACAGCTTTGAAGTAGCACAATAAAACCAATCTGGGATGAAATATTCGGATCAAGTGCAAACGTTAGAGCTTAAGAGCATCTACAAGCTTTCGGAATTTGTATTCTCTAAAAAAGGATCAGTCATAAATTCTTCAATATTTTGCCTCTGTGTGGTACTGCCAGGATTTTCAGGTGTGGGTGACAAAATTGTAGACCCTAAGCTAACCACTCTCCAGATTAAATATCAAACCTAACACCATTGGTTGATTTGCTCATTTCATCCTACGTTTGTTCGTTCGTTAATGTATTCCTAAGCAATGTAAGCTTTATAAATATAGGGTTTAAATGTAAACGCAGAGTAAATCTGATTTCAAAAAAGTCTCTTTTACACTAGTTTTGTAAAACGGACTTTATTAAATATATCTTATTGAAAAGGAACGTGCCGTTGATTGTTGACGTAATAACATTGTTTTTAATGTTTCACGATGGCCGATAGAACATCAATTTATCATATAATCACTGTGTTATTTATGCCATGAACACATTCAATTTTTTGTGGGCACATCAACAAACGTATGCATTGTGACGTCAGAATTAATACAATCGACGAACACATTTTCACAAATATTTTTTTAATATGATAAAGCCTTTTTTTCTGGGCATTCTTGAAGTCTAACGTTCTGGCATCTTGGCTAAGCATATGGTTCTTCTCTGTGACGTCATAATATCATCTGGGATTCTCCCACGTCATTTTAGTATGTTTTTATGACTCTCCAGACCGTATATGCCGGACATTACAAATATTCCAAGAGGTTCCCGTATATCGTGGCGCACTTCACGTAAACCGTCACGGAATTAGTCCTTAAACAACCAAAACAACCTTTTGATGTGCTGTTATCCATGCAATTTGATATCATCTTGTGTGGTACATATCCCAACTAAATCATTGTCAACATTTCGAATGTCATATTGTTGATTTGAAACTGGGACACTGAAAAATTTAAAATTGTTCACATTGTGTTAAAAGTATTATTATCAGGTTCCCATTTTAAGGCAGGAAACCTGGAATTTTTAGTTGGAATCTCAATATTATAAAAATGTGCAACGTGAAAAATTGGTGTTATCTGTCGGTTCTACTCCCATACGTTAAACAGTTGACGCCTATCAGTTTATAGCCAAGGGAATCAACCCATTTCAATACTGCATTCTACATTGGTCTCTTGGATGAACTACTGAAGACAAATAGGCCTTTTATGCGGCAGAGGACTTTATATCCTGGCAGGTGTGACACGGAAGACGCTAGAGGGATATATACTCACCGTTCTTTACATCTAGATTTATTGTTAGAAAGCGATAAAGCCACTTTTTAAAATCAATGGTTAAACAGTTCTAGGGCTGGTTTCTGCGTCAGAGTATGAATTTGAAGATATTATTTCAAGTTCTGAATTTATCCTGTAAACAGAGGACAAAGAAGGAAACACTCGTCTATATTATTTCCCCCCTTTGAATCATGCAAATGAATACAGCAAATATAAAAACTCCAACCCGACTTAAGAGACTTTCTTTTCAGACTGAAGCATAGACATATACATTTATTTTGTAAATCATAAAGGGTAAATAATGCGTTTCTATCAATGTTATCAGATATGATTTTTATTTTTCCAATTGTCCTTCTATAAAGTCATTATACGTCACATAAACAATTGGTACCTTCGTGACGATGCCATAGTTACGTCAAATATCAGACAATTCTATGAGGCTATTGTACTTTGATTTAAGTTATTATTTCACCCCTATAACCCGAATAAAAATCCGACTCAAATAGAATTTAGTTTCTCGTTGATACCTTCAGATAGTTTTGTGTTTCAAATCTTTTTAAGTGAAGGTACACTATACATTAATATAATAAAAAAACACATTTTGTTTACTTTCCCTGCTATGTACCTCTTCCTTAGCCCTCTTACAGGAAACAAAATCAATTTAATAAATCAAAAAATATTAATTTAAAAATTGCAACAGTCAGATTTTCAATACAAAATTAGAGATTATTTTAATTATAAAATGTACGTCGACTACGGCATGATTCCGCGGAGGTTACCGAACCGTGACAAAGAGGTTGATTGCAATTGTAGTGCCAACTGCCAAGACCCCCTGCGGGGTTATTCTTTCCAAACCTGAAACCTCTACTGGGTGTCACGGTACAATCGGTATCAAATACCTGTATCACTTTCCGCAGCAGCTTATATATTGATTAACGTGTACTCGCGTGACGTTGCTGCCCGAGATTGATTTAAGGCACGCATGAGAATATTACGACGCAGGGTCACAGATAGACAGCACGTGAGAACTCCTTGTACTTTCATATCGTTTTCCCTCTAGTCAGGATACATCAATGGATAATTTGTTTGTATTTAAATAAATCCCGTTAAGTGGGCAAATTCTCTTGTCGGCAGGAAAGCCATCATGACGAGACTCTTCGGTAAATCTGGACCGTCTGCTCTGAACACACGAGCAGTCGGAGAGGTTTCTCCAACAGTTTGTTAGTTCAACATACTCGCCCCGACCGTCTGAGATTTTGTCTCTACTGGCAACGTTCAGCCAATATGACCGTAGTTTTGTTGCTACGAGAAAAACTTGCGTGATTGTGACGAGTGGTGTCGTCTGCTTACCAATGACTTTGGCGGGAAACGGACAACAAAGGATTATAATTTGTTATCAGAGTTTCTTTTAATAAGTCTGATTTTGAAGAAGGATTTTTAAGTTATTCGATACGGAGAAGGGAAGAGTTATATATATTTAATACGAGAGGTGAATATCTATCACTGTGACGTTTTAAGAGCACAACAAAAATGGATGGATTTTTACCTCATTTGTGTTGCCATCGGTGACACAGCATAAACCACATCCTGTGGTCATTCTATATATTTTAATCACACCTCAGGGATTTATTGAGTGAACGGTAACTGACGTGAAAATAATCATTAAAACATAATGCTACCATTCCATTTCCCTCTATGACGGAGTCACAACACCGTTGTTCCATATCTTTTAATGTTAGAGTAAAGCGTTATTTGGAGTTCCGAGTGTGATAAAAGGAACAGCTCTCAGCTATTCACCACACGCCAATACTCCTCGTGAGGTTTCATTAAACTTTCTATGGTTTCCAGCTGCTAATACATGGTGTATATGGTTTTAATTCCGATGGAAGGAATCTGTTTTTAGGTTGAGGTGTTATCGCCATATATGGAAATCTAATATAATTTGTACCGCGTTTGATAGTGTATAAAGTGCCTAATTAATTTTAATTCGTGTGATATACATATAAAGATAGGATTCTAAAAGGAATTTTTATGATATAATTCTCACGTATTCTATCAGAACTTTCATAAACAGGAGCGCAGTTTGCTCCAGGCTACAGTTTTCACATAACCAATTATCTGAACAGATCTTTCATGTTTTGAAGGAGTCGGATTTTGGCTATACACACAAGAATGTGCCGGCGATATTGAAGAATAAGCTTATGTACTAGATTATCATTTTTCTGACATCCTAACAAACGTACCAGACAGAAGCCGATGACAAGGACATCTTAGATTGTGTTGATAAGTTGGCTAGCGTTGGCGGATTTTAAATTCGACGATTGAGTGTAATTGTCTGCTAGATTTAAGAAAATTGTTTTAAAATGTTACGTTATTAAATATTCAAGGCCTAGAGAGAGCACGAACTAGATCGATAGGGTTACGTACTCTCAACGAACAGGCGAACTATCGCTCTATGGTTTTAAACTGTGGAAGAATACATCGCACTTCCATTGAACGACGACAGGTTCTGACGAGTTGCTTTTGAATTCCTTCAATTCTTGGAGTTGTAAAACTGTGCTTAGAACTAAAATACTTTAGGAATCATGTGATAAATGATTTTACATTCTGTAATGGAATCGGAGAAATCCTTCCCAACAGGAATTGAATTCAAAGAGCATGCTGATTTGGATTAATGGAGCTAGCAGTGTCGGAGAACTAGATAACGGGGGTCCGTTAATCACGCCAGAAGTTGGCGTGGTATTACGTGTAAGAGATTAAAACATTTCAGGAGGGAATATAAAAAAAAACGTTCGGTGTTTGAATAACGATCGATTGATGGTTTCATCCACCTATACTCTCCCGAAAATGATATATTTTAGTGAAATGCGCGTGATATGGGCAATTATATTTGAAGCATAGTAATGTTGTTCACTGATAACTGTTATCGTCCGATCAAATAGTGTGCGAAACCGTCGTTTTACATTAAAGACAAATATTCGAAGTCAGGTTTATCTGGATGAGCGACAGAATAGAACATTTCTTATTCAGAGATAACTTTTTTTCATATCCGACCATATATAGCTTTATCTTGTTTGATGATAACGAAATTAGAAACTTCTGCTAAGATAAATTGTCACAGATCAAACTACTCAAGAGTTATTTTCGAGTTGGATGAGCGACATTTTTAAATTTCCTTTATTTCTAAATGATTTTCTCCCTAACAAGCGTGTCAATGACTTGGAGTTGTGACAACGATGATATGTGGCCATGAACTGATTTCTTGTAATTTTCACTAAATCTTTCTTCGATTGTACGAGAGCTGTAGACAGCTGTGTGGTGACAGTGCTACTAATTTTGATGCTATCTACATGTCGTTTAGCACTAGTGATACAGAGGTGTGCTTTATGTGGTAAAGTACATTACCATTTATATCCTAGAATTTGTTCAGATACTACCGACGTCTTTATAGTGCAGATAACTGAATTTGGCGCCGCTAGTTCAGCATTAGTGTACTGAGCTGAGTTTACCGCGGGAAGCTACTGTACCTCAACTTGAGTGAACTCCGTGATAATTCAAAACAGTTCGTACTACTGGTGCTGAATTTGTCAGCATTACAGTCGCATTAAGTGCTTATAGACAGTGACAGGGTAAGCTACGGTTTTATATTAGACAACAAGTACTTATAAAAATGCTAGACGAACAGATTATCCTTGTCCATCCTGACGGCCGGACACAGAGTGTCAAGGAATACGTGCACGAGCTGGTCAAAGGAGCCCAGGTCCGGCTATATGATGGGAAGGACTATAGGGACAAGAGGAAACACAAGACCGGGGGTATCTCCAAAACCAAACACAAGGTGAGTAACAAAACCGTAGAACATGTGTCATCTCCAAAACTGGACTCAAAGAATGTACACAACACTAAAACAAAAGTCTTTTCAAACATAAATACAGGGTCACAATGTCGTAGCAAAATTGCTAAAACGTGCATCTCAAACACTCAACACGGCCAAGATAAGTATTAAAACGTATGTTTTTATTTTCAAAAAATATCAGTAATCGCAACGAATGCACCATCGTAAAGCAAGATATAAAACACAGGGTAAATAAATTATATATATATATATTGTTTATTTGAACATTTTGGAATGAAGGCACTGTGACAATTTCTAAAATATATTACAGAAAAAAATCAAAAAGAAATCGCGTATAGCTTCTTCGAACTTTAATTGTTACGGCGGGGAACGAATGCTACTTCAATATAACATATTTCATTATGATGGTTTCTTATTGCAAAGCAGAAAAGCGAACATTTTCTAAGTCATAGCATATATATGTCTAACAGGATATAATACAATAAATATCGAAGAAATCTACCCCTTCAAATATAGGGTGATGTTTTTATTTAGTTTTAACTGAACTTAAATGTAATATCAGAGCTGAGACTTTATTTTGATGACTCCTCGTTTCCCGCTGTGGACTTTCCAATCGATATCGAGTTCAGATGTGTCCTTGTATGTTGCTATGTGACATGTATTTTCTATGTCACTTCAAAACCAATTGAATTGTGAAGTGGATCGATTGATTTATTAACCTACATATGTATGTTCTATGTTATTTCAAAACCCATTGAATCTCGAGGTAGATCGAGTGTTTTATTAATCTACATATGTATATTCTATTTTTTTCACAACCCATTGAATCTCGAGGTAGATCGAGTGTTTTATTAACCTACATATGTATGTTCTATTTTTTCACAACCCATTGAATCTCGAGGCAGATCGAGTGTTTTATTGACTTACATATGTATGTTCTATTTTTTTCACAACCTATTGAATCTCCAGGTAGATAGAGTGTTTTATTAACCTACAAATGTATGTTCTATTTTTTCACAACCCATTGAATCTCGAGGTAGATCGAGGGTTTTATTAACCTACATATGTATGTTCTATTTTTTTCACAGCCCTTTGAATCTCGAGGTAGATCGAGTGTTTTATTAACCTATATATGTATGTTCTATTTTATTTTCAACCCATTGAATCTCGAGGTAGAGTGTTTTATTGACCTATATATGTATATTCTATTTTTTTCACAACCCATTGAATCTCGAGGTAGATCGAGTGTTTTATTGACCTACATGTGTGCGTATGCATGATACATAGCTTGTGCTCATGTAAGATCCAAAATTCTATTTTAAAGACCAACCTATCTTTGTCTTAAGATGAATGAACTACGTCTAATGTTCAAGATAAGATGTAAATAATATCAGAACTAGGAAGAAACACTTCCATTGTTTTAAGGGATTTTCTTATATATAAAAAATTAATGAGAGACAAATCTACGAAAGGACATTTTCGGGCGGTACATTTATAGATTTATAGGTGTCAATGTCAACCATGTGGAATAACAGGCTAATGACAAACATAATGATTGTCGGATTGGATGACCGGGGTACAATCATAAGATATATTTGGCTCGCTATCTGAAATAACCCCAGCATCCGGAAGATTGCAACCAACCTCAATGACGTGAATCATTCTTTGTCTACATGTTGGAACGATGTCTTAATATTTGGGTGTTTTGTTCGATGATTTTAGGTTTTATACCTTCGCAAGTTCTAATTATTTCATAAAATTGATCGTCTCCAGTTTGCATTCTTAATCATTATGAATCATATCTGAAAACAGATAAATACATCTATTTACCAAATTTTAAAATACCCCAGGCATTCATTGATAAAACATTCAGCACTTGGTGTAAATTAAACGCTATAATCTTTTGTGATTGCTAGATAAATACAAAAGATGTCTTTCAGAAAGTGTCAGTGGCATTCACAATTACTATTGTGACGTAATAGTAATCTAATTACAACAATAATGACACTCATGGATATATAACTTTAGCAGGGATATCAGTGGCTTTTCTTTGTACTATTAATCAATGAACGTAACAGTAGTAGATATAGTATGCCAAAAATGAATTACTCTGCATTATGTCACCTGTTTCGTCCTTCTAGGACTCATCGGTGATGATAGGCCAAAACGATGAAAATCAAAATTGGTCTAACACGTATAACAGAGGAAAAAATAAAGACAAATGTGATTATTAACCAAAATTTTTTAAAAAAAAATAAATATATTCCTTATTACGCGATTTCAGTATAGGCAAAACAACATTGCAAATATTTGATAATGTCGAAAAGGAATGTCATAACCTTTCCGAAAACTCCCCAGAAACAAAGCACTTCGGATCAGGGAATCGATTTGGCTGATTTTATCTAAGTTTAATACATTTCTTTCGTGAATGCAAATACCGTGAAATAGAAATGTCTCTATACAGTGACGTAAGGCGGCTTGTTTTAGCGGAGTTGTATCTGATATTGTCGAGAGGTCTGTATTTACACTATGTAAATTGGCCCATTTCTAAGCCACTAGCGTACCTTGCTGAGTGTTATCTCCCTATAACATCGTGGGTATTTCAGGGAACTCTGTGTAAGTTGTTAGTAAGTATTGAATGTTACGAGTAAAAATTTAGGTGTAACAGAAATGTACATATGCAAAGAGCAGAATAAGCTGTTCTTCCCTCCTAAGATATGACCGGCGTTATTTTTTTTACATCTGATTCTAATTTCTAGCCATAATTTATCGGTGTCTGCACTTCTTGTTAAATGCTTCTCAGATCGCTGGTGCCAATTCCATTATTGGATTTGACATGAGACACCATGGCAATCTCTCGTTACACATGAATATTTCCTATCCATCTAGGGCACACGTTTTTACATGTTGTCTTTAGCGGAAATTCTTGCTGACTTCCCTTTTGTTTTGGTTGTCTTTTCGTATATCTGTTGCGTAGTTTTAGTTTAAACTCGAACCTGATGTGTTGGCGCTCTGACAAAGTTGTTTCTATTCATACAATATTCACAATTCATGGCAATTCATACATTCATACAATATTCACAATTCATGGCAATTCATACATTCATACAATGTTCACAATTCATGGCAATTCATACATTCATACAATATTCACAATTCATGGCATTTCATTCATTCATACAATATGTTAACATTTCATACCATCCATTTTTTCCGGGAGTGTTGAGGAACCAGCATGATTAATTAAGATGATCTGGGATGAAAAAGAGCGACAATAATGTTAAAAAAGTGACAAAAAGGGTATCAATCAAAAAGTAAAGACAGCGCTAATTTTTAATTCAATGCCACTTTAATTGGTTAGTTTGAGTTTTTAAAGCACTTTCAGTCAAAGCATTTAGAGTATTGTATTGGAAGCAATGGTCAGAAACGTTCATTTTGACGCTCATTAGGCAGTGTACGGTATCATTCACGGGGCTTTTTCGCCAGTCACTTTTCTTAATACACCTTTTGGATTCGGCATTGGAATTTGCAATGCTCGGTTGTATGATAGGAAACTTGCTGAGGTTTGTACAAAGCAGTTGACCATGATTTCTTTTCAAAAACCAGTGAATTTCTCATCACATAATTTAACAATGAAATATGCATACATTTGTTTTTTTCGCAAATGTTTGAACCACTTATTATTTTTGGTACAAGCATAGGATAATTAGTGACCTGAAAGTAGAAAAACTAAGTTGATATTCTGCCCAGTTTGGCGTCTGTTGCGATAACAGCCGACTGATTAAATAACTGTTAGCGGCAGCTCGTAGAAATCAAAAGCATGCAAGAATGCAAGGAACAAATCTTAACCATTAGGACATTAAAAATGATATCCAAGTGCACAATAAAATCGATTTTACTCTGACAGTAATAAATATCTCTTACGACACAAAATATATCTGACGACAATAATTCCTTTCTATACAATTGATAAACGTCAGCGTTTTGCCTTCCGACCGTCTGTCTCCGTGGACCCTCTTTGGTACACAAAGTTGATCATGTAATACCCATAGTAATGATTATTCAAAATCTCATGGACGGTTTTACCATAATTCGCTTTTATAAGATTGTGAGATCCTGTCATTTTCTCGAGACATATTTATTTTATAATTGAAAATTGAATAAAGGAAAGATGTCGCGTCCTTTTAGAGAATTCCCGATTGGACGGTTTCGCGAGCAATTTATCAAAAAGAGATTATGTATTTCCCTGTGTTAAGCTTCAGGTAGAATCCGTACACTTCTTCGGGAAAAACCTAGTGGAATTGTCGCATTAGTGCTGCATTAATAATTGACGAAACAACTCATTGATGAATGAGATACACGCCGCAATCCGTTATCCCTTCGGAAATCTCCGTCGGCTGCACACAACAACTCCTGGAAATAAATTAGTCCGACGTTTTTTTATGACCAATGCATCACAGTAATGTTTTATATATCTACATAGATGTATATGAACGTCCATAAGGGAATTATATTAATTCTTTCGTAAAACAATCGGAATGATGCATTTTCTTTTCATGATTAATGAAAGTACAACATCCGAAATAATTACGTGATTAGAAAACCATTTCCATCTCGAGACTATTCCTCTGATATACTATGAACCAAATGACCTCAGTAACCGAAATTACTCTGATATTCGGTTAAGGTTATTCGGTACTGTAAGCTACTGTAGAGTGTCTATTTTTCATTTAATTTCACAAACTAATCTTTCTTTACTAAGTTGCAAGGACATAGTTCACCTCTAGTGTATTGTTTACGTTGTGTGTGCCCTTTTACAGGTTTGGAGAAAGAATAAATCGGTTGTATGTCATTGCAAAATCTCCTTAGACACTTATTGATATCCCGTTTTCAGAATAATATGACCAAAAGGAATACCATGCTACAGTGTCAATACTATTAGTTTTCAGTGAGATGAAACTTAAAGCGACCATGTGTTAACA